ACTCCGTACACGTATGCAGGTGATAAGGGTATATTGCTGCATAAGTAAGGGAAGTTGACGATTGAAAAGTTAAAGTCATTACGTTTATCATTAAGCTTTGTTGTTAGATTACCATTTACGTCTTTTTCTAATAAAATATCCAAATATGAAACAGATGTGTCAGACTGTGGTATCTTTTATTTCAAGCTCAGCGGGTTATATAGTGACGACATAAAAATGGAAATAATCATTATTAATGCACAATACGTCGTCGATATATCTAAATGTCGAGTTGAATGCCACAGCAAGTGTTTTTTTCTTTTCTGGTAAAAGATTTTGAACAAATTCTGCTTCATATGAATACAAAAATAGGTCTGCTAATAAGGGGGCGCAATTGGTACCCATGGGAATTCCAATAGATTGTTGGAAGACCTGGTCTCCAAAAACCACATAAATATTGTCAATCAGAAACTCGAGCATCTTTTTAATGTCAACGTCTGAGTACTTGTGTGTACAAACAGATTGTTTTTTGACAAAGTAATTTTGCAAATGACCAATGACAAGGTAAGTAGATTTACGAGTTCCATTTTTATTGAAAAAGCAGCTGTCAACGATGTCAGAAAGTCTGGACTTTAATTTTTCGTGGGGAATAGTTGTATATAAAATTGAAAAGTCGTAAGTTTTTATGTTGTTAATTTTGGTAAAATTTTGAGATTTCAAATGTTCCAAAAGTTCCTTAGAATTTTTTAGTATCCACTTCTGATTTACACCACTTCTCGAATATATTGTTGCACAGTACTCTTGAAGTTTCTCCTTCACTACTGTTAATATCTTAGTGAGGAGTAAAGAAAAAGGCTTGGAAGAACATTTACTGGAACCCTTTACGTATCTTTGTTTGTAAGGATTTTTATGAAGTTTCGGAATCCAATATAGATATGGTAATTCAAATTCATTTTGGTTGCTTGGAATATTAAAAATATTCAAAACTGACATATGATTTTGAAGAAATTCTTCCTTAGAAAGGGAGCTATGGGTATAAGTTGAATTACCACTTGTAGAATTAAATCGCAGTTCCTCTGTAATACAATTTATATAATGAGCCTTACAAACAACGACAATGTTACCTGCTTAGTCAGCAGGGACCAGTACGTACTGATCGTGTAATCTATCTAATCCTTTTTTCACTTCAGAATTATTAAATACAGAAGGATAGATGGTTTTCATACTGCCCCTCAATCGTTTAATGAGAGATTTTAACATATATCTGATACATTTAATCCATTCTGACAAAGTGTCAAGGTCTTTTTGTCATGTCTGACCCAACGCCTGGCGTAATCCTCTACAGAATCTATAATATATATGAAATTTTATCTTTATCCTGTATTAGAATAAGCCGATATCTCTTAAGGGCCCTCTATACACTAGAGGAAAATATTTTTTGGACATTGAGAAAATTATAGTGTGTAAAGGTGTAAGTATTGAGCTTATCTATCACATTTTCAACATAGGGTGCCTTGCATTTACCCCCAGGAAAAATGTTCAAAGACAATGAAGTACTGATGAACATAAATCACTGTTGTATACTTAAGTGGGCAAAATACCTGCAAATGAAGTGTTCTGTCTATTCATCGTGGCCTATTAAAGTGTTATGAATGCTTGATTTGATCACAAATTAAGTAATAAACTGTACATTTCAATTTATTTTATTCTTGATCAAAGGGCAGATCACTCTATCTGCATAAAAATACCACAAAATAAGAACTCTCTAGTGTACAGTGTATAGAGGGCTCTTAACAATACACCTTCATTAAGAAACAGAAAACATTCCAGCGATACCGTTTTCTCATAAAGTCTTTGGTTGAAATTGCTTAAAACTGACGTAACCTGATTTATCTTTCTGGCTCTAAGAAAGAAAAAAAATCTGTTGTCTGGACATTGCAAGTTTTATATCACTTATTTTTAACATTGCAAATTATGTTGGATACTTTAAATGGTTGTTGACGAATGATTATTTCATTTAACACAAAATATTTCAGTAATGATTTGGATATCATAGCAACCTACATTGCTGAACAATTTGCCTTCATTTCAATTTTACTTACCAAATTCAATCCTGTAAACCACGTGTCCAAAAAGACATCCTGCCTAAATTTGGCTGCATTTCAAGGTTACTTACACGTATCTCTTTTAATCAGTTTGTTCACATCTGCGTTTCGCACTCTTCATAACAATTATGTCACAACTAAAAATCAACATCCCCGATGAAGGTTATCAAATCAAGGACTATATCATTTGTATTGAAGTTGAACAAGATGTAACTGGTTTTTTAATTAAATGGTTAATTTTAATTAAGCCTCTTTTGTAAAATATCTAAAATGTTTCATTTTGACATTTTGAAGTCAACAATTAGATATGTCACAAGGAACTTGTAATCGATAAAAAGTGCAGCAAAGTGTCATTTTTTCAATGCATCTCTGGTTGCATACTCAATAATAATTCAAAATTCTGTAAAAAGAAATCTCTTTCTTTACTTGATTACTCATTAGTTGTACAATCTTTTGCAATCTTTTTGATAAGCTTATGTAAGGTAATTTTTCTCTTTATCAAACGAGCAAACTTTAAATCTTGTCTAAGAAACTATGGGATTATTGCAGCGCTCTGTTGGAGTCAATCAAACAAAATATCTTTAAAGAGATGGAATAAAAATGTGACATACATGTAAGGTTAAACTTTGATTAAAGAGTTCAACATTTGAAAATTTGATTGTTTTAGAGCAACTCCTTTGTTTATGATATGTCATTCTAAGGGATGGGTTATATTTAATCCAAATGATTATGAAATGCTTATGATTAACTGGAAATAATTTTTTTCCAGTCAAAAATTAAAACATGAATATAAATTAAAATAGAAATAAACATTAGAATTAAGATTTATTTTCATCTATAAAGCAACCACACAGTTGAATACATATGCAGAAGTGCACACTGAGACATGTTTATCTAATACCTTTTGTGTTTACAAAGATTATTTTGATAAAGAATTTCCCTAATTTGGTCATTAAAAAGATCAATCCTTGTGTTTTGAAAAATATCACATTCCAATGCACATTAGATTATGAAAATTCAAAGGTCCCAAACTTTAGATAACTCTACTTATCACCTTGGATCGAACCAGGTTACTCATCGAATCGTTACAGGTCTGAGATTTATAGTAAATGTTTGTTTTGCTTCCGATTTATAATAAACTAATAAAAATGACACATAAAGAGAAAACTCGGTATTGTACTAAGTACTAGTGTACTGTCAAAGCAAATAACGTCCATTTCTTTTCAAACCATGATTTGTTGACGTCTCAGTAAATAAGAGTTATCTCTCTTACTTCACAAGTACCATCATTTTCTCAATATTCTAGCAAGTATAAATAATTTTTAAAAGATTCAGATCTATTTTAGTACATCAAATATCTTCTTTAACATTTTAATATAAATTACGCTCAATAGAAGAAACTGACTGGAATTTTAGGGCGAGACAGCCCTTTGACAATGGGCTGAGACAGAGATATCTCAGCCCTGAAAGCGAAACATCCCTAGTTCCCAGACGCTTTCTCACCTACATGTAGTCCAATACGCCCGAATCAGGGCTGATACAGTACTAGGTATATGATATTATATAAAAAAAAACTTACAAAAAATATATCTTCATATAAATGGATGAAACAAAGAAAACTCTATTTATAAACTTGATACTAGTATTTTTAACTTCTTCACCTGAGCCACTGAGCCAGCTTAACTTGTCATAAAGCATCCTTGGGTAAAGAGGGTTCATGTTTATTCAAATGGAAGGTTACAACATTTTGAAAGGGGGGCAATCAACAAAAGACGAAATAAATAAGATGGGTAATCTAAAATCTTCCTAGTCGAATGGAAAATTTGAAAATAACAAACAGTGATAGATTCAAAACAGTCATGGTAGTCTAGTGGTACGGCGTTCGCATCCTGATCGGGAGACCCATGTTCGATTTTCCTTCGCCGCTCCGCGTCAGATCTAAGGCGTATAAAGCAAAGATCGTAAATGTTCCTTCTTCAAGCGCGCGGCACTACAAGTGAAAGTCAGGGGTCTTTCGGATGAGGCCTTAAAAACCGAGGTACCATGTCATGGCAGGCGTTTGCACGATAAAAAGTCCTCGCAGCTTAATTGTCCTGAGTGCCGAGCATAGGTATAAATTTTAAGCCCTTAACCTGTATATGGTAACATCTCTATATGAGAGAAAAATTCTCGACTGGGACCTAAAACAACTTACAATTAATAGATCCAAAGATTCATTTTTTTTGTTTTCAATTAATGAACCCTGGGGTAACGGTGAGGCTGTCAGCGGGTTTCAAATTTTAATACATAATACATACCTAAAGGTCTTTTTTTAATTGTCCCTCTCAAGAACAGCAAGACCACGTTAGTCCCATTGATATTGAAACATTCCCGTGTGGATGCAAGTTGGTTTAAATCATTACAAGAGTGATGCCACAGGACGGCGCCACATTTTAATTGGAATACGGCCAAGGTGACTCAGCATTGTGGCCCATGGGCCTCTTGGTAAACACTGCCTTGGTTAACGCATTTATTAGTTATATGAATACCTGCGAAATATAATTTTATCATAATTGTGTTTACATTCAATTTTCCTGTTTATGAGTTCAGAAAATGAGCCAGTCTATATATATATATATATATATATATATATATATATATATATATATATATATATATATAAGAGAAAAAATTATAGTATCCCAGGCCTTTAAGTGATATTGCTATTTTTAAGATCATGAACCAGACATACACAAGTCATGTAGACTTGCTTTACATTTTGCACTTAGTACCCCAAAAATATTTCTCACTTTAACTTATTTAAACAATTTCATGCAGTAGATATTAACTTTCTTCTTATGTTGGAGTGATTGTCATCTAATGACACCAAGGTAATTGTATTTTGTATTGCAAGAAATAGAGAAAAAAACTCGAACATTGAATGTAAACTTACTTTTTAATTTTTAATCCTGTTTTTCCACACTGGGATGAAGGCTACAATATTGCAGTAAAGTACACAACTAGAGTAATATACATGTAAAATTGATTGAAGGGACATGAAACATTTTACCTTTGACGCTTTGTGCAAAATTTTTCCTACAAATGGCTTTTTTAAATTCTACGTGTTTTTCTTGAATCAAATATCTAAATATTACATGAAGAATAGGGGAGGGTACATTTTTACAAAGCAGAACGGAAAAATCTTGAGTATGAGTGCTTTTGTTTTTAACTTCTTCCACCAGCGATTTTCAGTTGTATCTCTTTTTGCTGGTTTTAGTTCACTGGATTTTTTCTGAATAATTTTTGGATACTTTATGAACTATTTGTAAAATTGCCTAAATTGTCGTTCAAAAATGTCCTGATATTAGTCCTGGAATGTATTGAAATACCTTTTTAACTTGTGCAAAATTGTTTTGGTGTGCTGGACGAAAATAGGGAAGTCTGACAAAAAAATTCCTCCAAACACAAGGGAAATAAAAATTATTCCAAGAGATCCTATGACAGCAGATGACTGTCTCTCATCCGGGGCACTAACCCGGGTCCTGACACTAGATGATAAATTTCTGAAGTTAACAGTCAACTGTTTTCTGATTTCTGTGAGTTTTATCTCCAGATCTTTGAACTGTTCCAGAAGGTTGCTTTGATTACTCCAATAGTTTACCTTGTCAAAATAATCGCAAGAACATGGGCAGGATTCTCCTAGAAAATTAAAAAATTTTATTTAGTCATATCTCTTATATAAAGTTTTTCGTGTTAAATTAATGATGATTAAAACTTGTTGTTGACTTTTTTTCAAATAATATCAATATGTAGAATAAAGACCCGTTTTTAAGCTATTGGATAAGCACTTGTAATTTGAGTAATCATTTCTATAGTTAACTATAAGCATAAGATACTGGATAAACATATGTCATTCAGGTACATGTAACTATGAAAGGATGTACAATTACTGAAATCGGACACACTCATCATACATGATGGATCTATGGAAAGTCATCTTAAAAAAACTTATTGGACATACTCATCATTCGAGAATTTTCTATCATTTTATAAATCACATATTCTCAGATTCAAATATAAACAAATTTCTCTTTGCATAGTGTACGGCTATTAAAATTATTACATGTATTATATTTACCGTTGTTTAAAAAGGTTCCAGTTGTTGAGGCGTCTGGTGTTAATGACGCCCTTATTGTTGTGAGCTCGGGTGTTTCTGTTGTTTCTATTGTTGTGACCTTGGGTGTTTTTGTTGTTTCTATTGTTGTGAGCTCGGGTGTTTTTGTTGTTTCTATTGTTGTGAGATCGGGTGTTTTTGTTGTTTCTATTGTTGTGAGCTCGGGTGTTTTTGTTGTTTCTATTGTTGTGAGCTCGGGTGTTTTTGTTGTTTCTATTGTTGTGAGCTCGGGTGTTTTTGTTGTTTCTATTGTTGTGAGCTCGGGTGTTTTTGTTGTTTCTATTGTTGTGAGCTCGGATGTTTTTGTTGTTTCTATTGTTGTGAGCTCAGGTGTTTTTGTTGTTTCTATGGTTGTTACCTCGGGTGTTTTTGTTGTTTCTATTGTTGTGACCTCGGGTGGTTTTGTTGTTTCTATTGTTGTGACCTCGGGTGTTTTTGTTGTTTCTATTGTTGTGACCTCGGGTGTTTTTGTTGTTTCTATGGTTGTGACCTCGGGTGTTTTTGTTGTTTCTTTTGTTGTAGCATCTGACACTCCCATTGATGTTATTACTGTGGTTTCGGATGTTCCTGTTGTAATTGTGGATTGCAATGAATTCGCTGAGAGATCATAAAATATAAAAAAATAGATACATGTACTTTATCAAAAATATTTTTTTCACGTGTAAACTTGCAATCAATATTACCCTAATTTACCTTGTTTTGTATTCGTCCACTGACGACTAGGGAGAAACAAGAGAAAATGAAAGGTTGACAAAAAATCCTATGTATTGTTTTAAAAAGATCATATTTCTTTGATGCATCATCTACACATTTAAAGATCGAATTGTCAATTTCTGTGGAATTATAGGGAAAAATTGTTTTCAGAATGAAAATAATACATGTATGAATTTCTTTAGTCTAGAAAAAAAAACAGATTAAAATGTGCAGTTTAATGATCTTTTAAAATAATTAACTCTCTTCAGTTGTTCCTGCTGGTTACTCACTTGTTCTCAAATCTTCAAGAAGAATTTCCTGGCACTCAGACTCTTCTACAATAAAATTAATAAATAAAATAAGATTTGTACACAGGGCTTGCTACAGTGCATAAACAAAGTCACATAATTCATACAAATACAAGGGAGATAACGAACAGTAATCCAGCTCAAAAGTCCATAGAAACAATCTGTCATTAGGTTTATGCTGACTTACGTCTTTCATACAAATTGTAAGTAATTTTTTCACATTGAATTATCACGACAAGGGGCACACAGGGGGGGGGGGGTTGGTTGACTGACCACCTCCCTTTTTTTTTTAGAGGCCCGTGATCGTTTTAACTTGGTCGAGCCACATCGGTAAAGAAACTGAATATTGATTATTTTAATTAAATAACTCAAGTTAGTAAGAAATTTTCAGTATCGGTATTTAAATTAACGTCTGTCTTCTAAGTGTTCAATATCGCATCATTCAAATGATCCTACCAAGAGTTATGATTTGCTTATTTAGGTTTTATTGAGGTGAATATGTACTAAATGGTTAATCAATAATTTCAATTTTGAGTGAAAATGAACACATCTTACCTAGCTGCCACTACCTTTCATAAATTTGTCTGTGAAAGGTTGACCAGACGACATTTTTTGTTTACAACGGGGCTTTCGGTATTGAACGCTCGTATTCGGAATCTTTCGGGCATACTCATACGTAATACAAACTCAGCGTTCAATAAAATGCCAAGATATTGAACGCTAAAATTCTCTAGACTTTTAGTACTTTTTTTATTATAGACTATTTATTAGCAATATTATAATTGAAGATATTTACCTGCTGGGTTTATCCCATTCCTCGAAATAACACTAGTTCTTATATCTGTCATTGAAAAAGAAAACATGATTAGAACCTGATTAAGAACTTAACATTTATCTATCAAAGAATTGTATCTTGCGGTTCAGAGCATGCATTTTCTGTTTGTAACACGATAAGGAATAACTTACAACTAAACTGTAAGACAAACGAGATGACTTCAGCTGTCCATCTTCAACTTTTGTATGTACTAGTAATATATGTGATGTTGATGACCCCCAGTTAATTCGATATTCAAGAGCATGCTTTGAGTATGACCAAATTTTCAACCAAGACAGGCTACTGAGAAATCAGTTTGATGTTTCAGGAATTTCAACAAACTCGTTTGAAGTCATTCTTTGGTCTTTATATTGACCTCGTTTGCAAATACAACGTAACATTGGGTAGTAGTTTGAGTAACATATTTCATACCCATCGCTAGGCCATTGTTTTTATACTGAATTTGGCTAGGATTATTGCGTCAACCCGATCAAAACATAGATGCTTACTCCTTCTGGGCACCTGATCCCACCTCTGGAATTGCCATGGGTCCGTGTTTTATACCCTGCTCACAGATTTCTATTGTTTGTAGGTTTTCTGAGATTGCTCAAACTATTCGTTATCTTCACCTTTTTCATTACTAAAGTTTCTTTAAAACTTTAATTGTTTCTACGGCGGTTTTTCTTGTTATTGTGATATCATTTATTGATTGCTAAGTTTATAAAGGACAGTTTCTCTCCGCTGTAAATATCAAATACTCTACAAAGGAAACCAGAAATGAAAAGGTTTTGGACTTTGAGCTAATTCAAGTGAATTTTTGGTTATGCCTAACCAATTAAACATTTTATATCTTCATTTAGATGCAAGAGAAAAATAAGCACCTTTCCTTCAATGGTTACCCACCAATGGAACCAATGATAAAAATATAAAGCTCAGGGTACATGTGTTTATAAGTGTTTCGTTTTCAAGGTATTTCAATGATGATGGAAAAATCCCTACATCACATTAGTTTTGGCCACAATTTATATCTTAAGTGATGATAGCAGAAAGTCCGAGACATGTCAAGTTAATTAGTTTTTTGTTGATAGAAGAATGCTAAAAAATAAACAAAAACTGTTCTTCTTTCAAAATATCTTTCAATGTACATGTAAGGATTTTTAACATAAGAAAAGTCGAGAGGAAATCTGTTCTGCATATTTGCCGTAATCTTTGTCATCTTCACTTTTTTCATTACGGTGTACAAAGTACAAAAACATGATGATTTTTAATTCACACCAATTAGAAGTCTTGGCATCTTATATAGAAGTGAATGTTCTTTCGCCAAGCGCCCGGCATTAAAAATATAGAAGTAAAGTGACAAAGCCATAAAAAGACAGAAAGAAATTTCTACATTGTAATTTAGCTCATAATTTAAAAAATAGTAATCTTGGAAACCAGCAATTTTTTCACAATTACACAAGAATCAAATTTCACTGGATGATTTCTTCTATCTAACGTTTAATTAATTCATTCAATCATTTCTGATGAAAACAATGAAATTACTCACAGTCATACAAAGTTATGTTGGTACATTTCGTGGTTTCCACTGTAAGACAAAAATGATATTTGATTTCGTGCTGTAAACTTGAAAATATTTCAAGGGGGCAGTGATGTTCTTATAGTTTAAAAACATTCTGCAAATAATTTTTTTTAAATATTTGTGCAACCATATGTGTAAAATTTTGATAATGCCTTTTACCATTAAATAAATATTGTAAAACTCATTCTTATTTAAAAAAAATAATTTTAATATATACAATGTAATTTTATAGACTTGCCTGTATTTCCACAATGACAGATGTTGCTGAAAGAAAAAATATCTTTGTGTTGGAGTTCGGTAATACTGGTGGAGTGCCACTTTTTCTGGTGGCAAACACAAAATCTTTCCTCACTATTACAGTTGCCCCAGAACTCTGAATCCGTGCATGTCGATATGGTAACTGTTAATTGACAAATTTAAGCGTTCTAAAGTAGGCTTATATCTACCAAACTTGGAAATTTAGAAACGTGGCATAAATACATTTTAGTGTTAAAATGTAAGAAGTTAATATTGTCCCATGATGAAATTTAAGAGTATATATATTGAAATCAATGTAGAGTTAGGACTTCAACTCCGCACCTTTCGATTAAAATATAACTATTTAAGCAATTTTCTACAGAAGTTACTTCATCAACTCGATAGAAATAGAAAAAAATTCTAAAGAACCGATTAATTCTGACAAAAGGATTAAAGACATTAATATTTAACAAGAAATAAAAAATAAATAAAGACATAATAGTGATACAAAATCCACTCAGTATGAATTAAAGAAAATCATTCATAATTAGCACTGGATATTTATTGTTTCTTTTTTAAGAAATCACACATTAATTTTTACTTCATTTGTAATACTCACCTCCACCAATTGAAAAACAGGGTAAAGGTAAATTAACAATTACACTTAAAATCAAAAATAAGCATGAATCCATCTTCGTCTTTAACCAGTTCCTGTTAGAACTGCCTCACTACTTCATAAATATATCCATCCTAAGTACATTTCTCTGTTCATCTATCTTTCATGAAAATTAACTCGACATATTCAGGTCGATATTGCTAATGTAAAGCATTTATTTTTCATGAATATGAAAAAGAAGTCTTTAAGATATATCTTTGATCATACAGACAGAAAAGTAACATGCAAACCGAATGGCTCTTAACAAAAATGAATACCTGAGTCCTAAAGTCAATGGATCAATTTCTTCCATATTCATAGTGTTTTGATTATGTTGGACTGCACTACACAAAAAATCATATACATAAACCATTTATTACATTTTGAACAATAGGATTGGGTACAATATTACATGCACATGCTTTCAAATTTCAGTAGAAATCTCGAAATTCCTCGTAAGAGAATTATTATGATAAAGATTTCAGTAAGTACAGATGCCATTCTAGGCAGAAAAGTACAATTCTCCATTTATTAACAAAAAAGTTGAAATACTCCTATTAATATTTCTCAGAATAATTTGAACTTTTTATATAAAATTGTACCTAAAAATATGCTTTGCTTTTCACAATGAATACCTGAAATTCTCAACTTCTTTCTCAACATTTAGTTTTTGTATTTATAAAAAATCCTTTTCTTCCTTAAAATCTTAAAAATCCTACAAATGGTAATTGATACAACTGATCCAAATTTCAAAATATTTCGACACACTCTATACCACATATTTAAGGTAAAAAGCCAACAAAAAGAAGTAAGAACGCGTTTCCATCGAT